TTGAAGTAAAGGGACCTCAGAACAAGATGCAAATGCTGGTTACTGCTCCACAAAGTAGCTGGTTACATTTGACAACCTCTGGGCATGGCAGAATGGCAGATCAGGATGGACAGGAGCTGGTGGTGAGGAACCTGGGGCTGGAACAAAAGGGAGGGACTACACACCACGACAGAAGTGCACCTGGAGAGCTCAGGACAAGGCTAGTAGGTGGTGTAGGGTTGGGCTACAGGACAGAATCAATTTGCATTGGTTAATGTGAGGGAGAATGCAACTAGACTGGAATAGCAGAGGATCCTGTAAGTCAGCACTGAGGTTCCCTGGGAAAACTAGAACTGGAGTACAAGGTGCAGCTGGAGTACAGGGTTCAAAACAGGTTAGTGGGGGTGAAACAGCTGAACAGTGAAATCCACTGTCAGAGCTAGAAGAGTGGAGCCAGCGCATCGCCTACCTGTATTTCACTTGCCTCTAGCCAGTGCTGTCAGCTGCTTGCTGTAATTCACTTCAAAATTAAAGCACCAAGGAGAAAAATTAGATTAGCCAGAGAGAGAGAAAAAAAAATTGATGGATGGCATAGCAATAAAACATCCCCATTTGCATACAGGACGAGCTTTCTGCCTTGGGAACTCTCTCTTTCTCTCTCACTGCGAGAAGCCACAGGCTTGGGTTTGTGCATTAAATTAGATCAGGGTGATTTAATAATAAAACATGCACACGGGAGAACCAGGAGGCCGCTCCTGACACATAGCCCATTGCAACAGGGCAAATAGTTAATGTAACAACAATAGTAGCCCGAGAGCCCGGTGTTGCAAGCAAATCGCCTCCCTTCCCTGGCCAATGGGAGCACAGCCTAGGGAATCGTGAATGGGTCAATTATTCAGGGGTCATAACTACCGAAGGACAGTTCTGTGCATGTTATGGATGTGTCATCCATCAGGGGTGTGTGATCCTTGGTCCTGAGAGCAGAGGACCTGATGGACAGCTCCCCAAAGTGCTGCCTCCGGTGACCCTGGCCTGCAGGAAGCAGCACCTCCCATTGCCAGGGAACTGGAGAGGAAACGTTCCCTAGAGAGTGGACAGCCAAGAGGCAGAGACAAGTGAAGAGGGACGGTGCGGAGGCTGTGGGGCTTTGAGAAACATCAGAATAACAAAAAACCTACTCCTGATGCCCATTAGAGCAGGTTCTGATCCCAATTAAGTTGCTACAGTTTCACTCTGGCCTGACATGGGACTTGTATTTGGCCCCTTTGAATCTTTCTTCTAGCCTTTCCCCTTTCTCTTAGCTCATTTTGCTGCCAAGAGGGTGAGACCTATCTGGAGAAAGGGCTCAAAAGGCAACATGGCTCCAAGAAGGCAAAGAAGAGGAGTCAGGACAGGGAACAGACCAACCTGACCAGAGCACGAATTAAGGGGGAGCTTGGTGGGGCTGAGCCCCTGCATAAGAGACAAAAGGCCCCCTGTAAGATTTGAAAATCATAACCTTTGGAGGGGGCGGGGGTTGCCGATCAGATTGCTTCTCTACTTAGGTGGACTTATTAATCAATGAACCGGTTTAAATTTTTTTCCAGAACCCCCCCACCCCCAAGAGTCAAAGTGTAATTTGAACCCTGGACCTGACCTTGGAGCACTTGGCCTTGGATCTTGCTTATGTTTCTTCTTGCTTCAGTGTTTGGTTTGGTTCAATATCAAGAGCAAGGAGTGACTGAATACTGCAGGGTTCAGTGTTATGTTACATGCCAGGTTTGGGCAATTCAAAAGTTCCCAGACTTTGGGGAATTCAAATTCCATGCCTGGACTGGAGCAAAGGCCAAATATCCCCCGATACTGAAGGAAGCTCTGGCATGGATCACACTTTTGCTCGGGCATGCCTCTGCAGGGACCATGCATGCTCACAAACACTCCATGCAGAGGACTTCTTCAAGAACAATCATGGACACCAATGAGACTGCATGTTAGGGAAGGTTTTTTTGTGATATTGGGGACAAAAGAGGACACTTCAGGGCAGCATGGACTGATACTATCTACTTCTAGGGATTAAAAAGTCCAAACATGATCTAAGAAATAAAAGAGCCTTCTTATTAACAAGCAGACTCCCACAGGAAAACAACAGTTTTGTCTTGTGTGCAAGATCTTCACATACTAAACTGTGACCTGAACTACTTAGGTGGGACCCATGATGTACATCTTCATGACAGTGGGAGAAAGTTCAGTCTTGCTGCTAAGAAAATGGGCCCCAATCACCCGCTTCTGCTCTGTACACATCATACCCAGAAATGCGGTGGTGAAGATGGCCTGAGGAGCCACCCTCATGCTGCGTTCAAGACCTGGATTTCTAGCTTGTTCAGGAGCACCGCATGCAGGCATGCAGGCATCTCCATGGTGTGTTTTCACTACCTTATACCTTATGCAATGGAAGTGGGTGGGTAGGGCTTATGTCCTTGGCAGTGGGCACTCTGCTGCCACAGGGTAGATGAACCCATGCAGTCAGGATTTTTAAAGCAAGAAGAAACCATTGGCTCATCCAACCTGACCTCCTGCAGACAGTATTAACCAGTTACCCCTTCATTGAACCAAATAACTTGTGTTTCAATAAAGCAGATCTCCCAGAAAGGCATCAAGTCCAGATTTGAAGACACCACAAGGTGGAGACTCCATCACTTCCCTTGGGAATTTGTTTTGATGGCAGGTCACCTGCACCATTTGAAGACATGCACGTCATTTTTAGTTTGCATTTTAAAGCCAGACCAAATCTGTTGGTGGTCATGCCTTTGATGGCAGTAAGAGCGTTAGGAGTTAACTAATGCTCAGGATCTCTCACTCTCTGTAATGCCCTAGTAGAGAGAAGACTGTAGTTCTTACTTCACTGTAGTTAGATCAGGTCAGTCAGGGGAAGGGGCACTATGTTGAAAAACCGAGTCTCATCTCCACTAGGATTTTACAAGGCGAAAACTATGAAACATGCTAGTTACATTGCTACACAAATACATTTTCTTGGTGGTGAAGACATATGGAATAAGGGACTTAAGTTTCATGACTCACTGATCTGGAAAAAGGAGACTGGACTACAAAAAACCCTGGCACCACCCCAGCCCTGAGTGACTCCCTGGAGATCCCCTATCAATTATGTAGAAGCTGAGACACCCCATTACATCTTGTGGTTTCTAAGAAACCATGTCTGACCTTGTGGGCCCTCATTCCAGGTGCTGAAGCAGAAATAAACCCTGGCAAAATTCTCCAGAGTGGTGAGTGGAGATGTTGAAGCTGGAGTGAACTGAACTGGTGAGAGGGGTGGGCAGCTTACTTGCCCTACTGGTTTGCATTGGTGCTCCCATAGTTTACTAAAAGCTCCACTCCTGTTTCTTACTAAAATACTAGAGGCCTGTGCATGTATGTTATATATGGTGCAACTGGATACACACAGCTGCTTCATGTGTGGTGCATGCATGTGTACTTGAATCACAGGTGCGTCATCGTGTGCACTGCATGCACCTTATGCAGATGCAATGGTGGTGTGTGCAGGGCCAGCACAGACAGAGCTGGCACAGCACACTCCCATACATCTCCAGAGAACCTTGCTTCATTGCCAGGAGACCACGCACTTGGACCATGAGTGAAAGGCCAGTACTGGGCTAATGAGCTGAGAACGGATCCTTTTACGGTGTAATTAACTCTCAAGTGCTTGGCAGCAGGACGGAGAATCTAATATTTGTTTTTTAGCTGCACAGCGCGAGCTGAAGTAGAAGCAAATATAATTACTCTGCAAAATTCTGGATGTAGGGAATCATATATTCACAAAGAGCTGAAAGCTTTTACTGGCTTTGTAAAGGGCCCTTATGGCAGGAAGGGGGTGGGGAGAGCTTAACACAAGGTAGTTGCAACCAGGATGGCATAAAAGACCTAACGAGCTCTAAAGTGGGGTGGATGGAGCAGCGGGTGAATTCTATTCATGCCACCCCTGCCCCTTCCAACTATAACTTCTACCAGATGAAGGCTGGATATTTCCCAATGGAAACTAAGGCTGTCCCTCCGCCAGCAGAAACCCCCCAAAAGGAAAGCAGAGGATATGTAAACCTACTATTTCCCAGGAGCAAGGATCTTAAAAAGAGCACCAAGAAGTCAGTTTGCAGTTCCCTACTATATATAGGGTAAGCCTAACCTACTTGGTACACACACATATGCCACGTTCACATGTGCCCCCACATGCATATACTTAGAGGAATCACCTCCCCCATTTCTGGTCTGGGAGTTACTTCACAGCACAGCGCAGTACTACAATAAAGGGACAAAACTGCATCAGGAAGGCAATTTGCAACGATGCAAACAAGAGATGGGCAAGGAGTCAGGGACAGGCTTGCACAGATGGCCCTGGGTCTTACCAGCTTGAGAGACCTCCCACTGCTTATCTCCTCCTTTGGATATTTTTGTGTCTCACTTGAAAGTAGCTTCCTTTAGTGCTGACTGAGATTAGATGCAACCAGTGAAGGAAGGACAGATCTGTGTATTGTAAGACATCCGCCCCTGTTGCCATCACCATTCTCTGTCTCTGTGCATCATTACAGTTAATGACTCTCTCACTGCACAAAACAAGGCTGCAGCAGTTTGGATGGATCAGCTTATTGGACCCGAAGAACACTGCTCAGAAACTTCACTTACTACAGAAACCAAACCCCAATCTCTCCAAGGGGTTGTGGGTATTACATACTGGTAGCTGATGACCATGTAGCCACATCCATCTTCCTGGCCCCCAAATTAGCTATGGGTCTCTTACCTGCAACCCTTTAACCTGCTTCACCTGACCTTATAGTGCAAGAGAAAAATAGGATGTGCGCCATGGCAAGGACCTTAGAATCGAAGCAAAAGCGACTCCTAAATAATCTATACCAGGTTTTACATCAGACCCCTGAATGCCTGGAGGACACTTCAGGAGTGCTAAGACAGTTCTGTGGAGCAGTACAGCCAGGGGCTGGAAGATAATGCAAGTTACACCAGCTTTGATTCACAAGATTGCCAAGGAGCTCTCTCTCTTAATACTGAATTACTGGCCGAGATTTGGAGTGGTCTTTGCTCAGCTGGAACTAGCTTAGTCCCCTGTTTAATTCAGAACAGCGGTGCTCTGGCCACCCCATTTTCCCCCTCAACTAAGGAATACTGGAGAAGTACTATAGAGCACAGCTACATTGGCCTGTGTCACCCAGCAGTTCCCCTTCAGCAAAGAGCATTCAACAAGGTGATAGGCAGGTAGCAGATATATAGCAGTCTATGACTATGTATATGTAATAATAGTGTAAGTAGTGTAAATGATATGGCGAGTGGGGTAAAGTTTCTGTATAACGAGAGGGTTATTAGAATCTCTTGCATGACTGTATTTAATGTAATAGGGGGCCATGGGAAGAGTAAACACAACAGCAGTACACGAGGTCTCGTTAAGCAGCCTCAGGCACTCACTTGGAAGGTAATGGGGCGAGCTTTTAGCTTCAAGGATTCTGAACTGCACCAAATTGCAAGGCTTATTTCACTGAAGCTTGGAGCCTTGAGATAGAAAGGGCATGAAAAGGTTAAAAGGTCCTGCTCGAAAGTGGGGGAAGGCCCTGGTCAGAAGCATCCTAGGGAAATAGGTTAACAGAAACACTGTGTGTTGGGAGCTGGGGGTGTTAAAGAAATTGGGCCTGCCTAGATGTAGGGAATGCTGAGCTTTGGAGCTTGCTTATAGCTTGGTTTAGTGTTTCTATGATGTACAGTTTCTAAAATGCTGTCGCTGTAATAAATCATACTGCATGTATTTGCAGTTTGGTCACTGCTAGTTCTGGCTCCTGGAGAATGGAGTAAACTTGTAGGGAGTGGACACGAGTCAGATGGTTGGAGGCAAGCACAGGCAATTCTCAGGGGACTGCTGCAGTTTCACCCTCAGCCAGACAATGCACTGAGAGCTGAAACGGGATGTGTCCTCAGGACCTGGAGGGACCATAGGTGTCATTTTACTTAGGAACTCCCTGATGCCACTGGATTTTTCATTGGCTGGCATTGCCATAGTGCTGCGAAATTAAGCAGCAAGCTTGCGGGGGGAAAAGGGGGCTGGCAGACTGCAGTTCACTGTGTATTCATCTAGTTTCCTATGGTGCTCTCCTTTTGACTTAGTTAATGCTCCTTAGGTCTCCTGCTGCTTCCCATCAGACAAGGTGGAAGATGCTGGAGCAACCAAATGCCCAGCAAAGATGCCACTGCTGAGAAGAGAAGGGAGTTGTGGCAGGCAGGAGCAACAGGCCGGTCAGATCATGAGAAATGGGAGATCAACATGGAAACAATTCTGCTCCCCTTCCCATGCTTGGGACCAGAAAGAACTTCAGGAACCATAGGAGCTCAATGGCACTTGTGATTCAGGTGTGCACACGTGGAAAGGCGTTTCCTGCCCTGACAAGGGGGCTTCATTCATGGGCAAGCACAGCCTTCCAAATAAGGGATGAAAAGCCCAGTCACAACCCCTGGGTCTCACTTGGAGCGAATTCCTGGCTCCGAGGCAAACCTTGCTTCTGCTTCTTTCTGGCTGGTAAGAGCAGAAGGGTTGGGAAAGCAGGAAGGAAAGCTCCTACTGGAGTTATAAAGAAGAAGCATTACACAAGGCACTGGTACATTACTTGCAGTAATTCAACTGTGGAACAGCGACGGAACAAATACGACAAGATGCTATACATTAGTGGAGGCACAAAGCCATAGCTGCTCCCTTCGAAAACAAAGCATTTGTCTTCTGACAGCAAGCGCAACAAGCCCTGAACGTTAAGAAGTGGGCCAAGGGAACAGAAGACAACAACCCAAGTCTCTTTACAGCTTCGTGGATGGCAGCCATCACAGCCATCTCCTTCCCACTCTTTGCCTCAAACAAAGCTTACCCCCACCATGACACGGGGCTATGACTAGCGCTAGGAGCTGTTCACCTGCCTATGCCTATTTTGTGCAGGGTTGTGTGTGGGTTAACAGCCCCTGCAGGGTCCTCTCTGATGCTACGTGGCAAGTTCACCTGAGGAGGGACATGGTGACATGTGAGAAAGGATGGTGTAGTGATTATAGCTCTACCCAAGGACAGGTTCAAGCTGTTGCTCCTCCACAAACTTTCTGTATGACCCTGGGTTAGTCATTCAACTTCTCCCTGCCTCAGTCCACCTGCTCTAAAATGGGGGGAATAGCTCTGCCTTGCTTCCCAGGCTCTGCCTTGCTTCCCAGGGGGAGCTGAGAGAATAAAGACTGTGAGGCACTCAGACATTGAGTAATTGGGGCTTGCTAAGGTACATCACAGATTTGTGGCAGTTGCCAGATGTAGTCACTGATCCCCGCTCTCCCCACTCCCTCACCCACCCCAAAAAGGCGCATACAACTTCCTTACCTCCTCTCTGCTTCCTGCACATCTCAAGAAACTGAGAGAGTATCTTGGTATCAAACTCCCCTCCATGCATGCTACTCCCATGGGGGACAGAGAGGAAGGAACCTCAGTGAGGAGCTACATGCAGGGCTTCTATGGATCATTCTCTTAAAAGTGTGGAATAGAAGGGCTGTGAGCTGAGCTTCTTCTCCCCGCAAAAGGCCAGGATGCTTCCCATCACCCCACAAGCAACAGATCCCGCAAAGAACTCCAAGGAACCCTATTGGTAACAGCTGGGTGCAAGGAGGCCCTTTGCCTCTCAAGTGCCTCTGAATATTTCCAACCCTTCACAGCACCCACAAAACTGGAGCTGGGTTAGATAACCTATGCAGGCCATAATTTTAGTTTCCTTCTAAATCCACCCACAATGGACCAATCCATTCCTGTAGAGCAGTGGTGTTCAGCCTATAGAGCAGTGGTGTTCAGCCTTTCTTCATTTGCAGACCCCTATAAACTTTCAAATGGAAAGGCAGATCCCTTTGAATTGTAAGTGTGGTTCTTCGCATACTTTTGATTGATCACAGTCATGTTTTGTGGATCCCTTAGAAAGTCTGCAGACCACCAGAGGTTTGTGGACCATGGGTTGAAAACCACTGCCGTAGAGCACATTCAACTAGGGAGAGGTGCCCACCATTCTGGTCCAGGAGCCAGGAAGTCAACAGTGGGGCACGTAGCACAGTGGGAGATCCCCACGTGTGTGCACAGTGGCACATGTGAAGGTAGTGTTTGAGAACAACAAAGTATATGATGTTCCCTTGTTGTGGCAGCTGCTGGCAGGGCAAAGTGGGCTGGTCACTGTCAAAATCCCTAATTCTTCCTGTAAGAAAGTCTTGTCCGATTAGGGCTGTTTTCCCATGTCTTGTACAGAACTAGCCCACGGCAGTGTGGTACTGCAAGGTTAACATGCTGTACAGTCCCCCTTAGGCAGCACCTTATTGCACTATTAATAGAGACCATTCCATAATGATGCTTCACAGTCTTACAGTGGCTGCTGCAGAAGATCTCAAAGCCCTTTTAATATATTCATTAATTGATCCCCAAAGTGACCCTCTGAGTGGGAGGTAAGCATCATTATTCCCATTTCACAGATGTCATCCCTCTTTACTCAGAAGGGGGGTGTGGGTGGTACCCCCCTGACCATGGATCCTGGGTGGTCAGCCATGCTCCCCTCCCCCCACCCCCTTCTAGGCTGGCTTTGCTCCTAACCATCAAAGCAGTGAGGTTCTAGAGCAACCTCCCAATACAAGTAGTGCCAGAAAAAAGATCTACTTAGTTTTAAGCCAAACTTTGTCAGTTTATGAATGGATTATACAGCGTGGCAGTCTGCAACAACAGGGAACTGGACTTTATGACCCGGGAGGTCTCTTCCATTCTTAGGTTCCTATGACCAGACTATCAACCACCAGTTTAGGTTCACAAGAATAAGAGTGAGGGAGACAGGTGAGTCACTAATATTAATCTTCAGAGTTGGATTTTAAACCCAACAACATTCAGAACAGCAGATTGGGTTCATCAGATTAAAGACAGGTGGTGGTCAGGAAAAAAAAAGCGAAGAGTGAAAATGCAAATTCTTACAATTTCTCACACAACTGGTAGAAATGTTTTGAAAAAAAATGCGATAAGGATTTTTTCTTACAGCTTTGATTTGAACAATATGATTACTTTCATTTGCATTTTTTCCTTAAAATGTGATATAAAAAAAAGTGACCCATATTTTGAAGCGTCTCTAACAGTTTTATTAGAAAGATCAGAGCCACTAGCAAACCGTGATATCTTAGTGTTGCTTGCTAATGAGTTCTTCAAGGAAGGTTTTCTATAGCCATGGGTTCAGCTTAGTTTTGTACCCATCTATCTCTGATATAGAGAGGCAGTGAGAATAACTATAAGCACATGGTGACTACTAAGTAGTAAAGTGTTTATTGCCACCAGATTCAGTTAATCTACATTAGGCCACAGAAGGACCCAGCATTACTAACTCCTGCAGACTATCCCAAATCATCTCTTACAGCTTCACAGCACATAACGCCTTTGTCTCTTATTTATTTGATTTGGGGTTTTGCTCTCTGAAAAAAAATAATCCTCTCTAGCTTCCATCCCTTTTTTGAGTTTCATGTCCATTAGTTACTATGGAAACACTGATGCCATTGGTAAGAGTGGAGCTCAGTGACACCCTCAAGGTCACAACGTGGGTAATAGGCAATTTAAGCCTGGTTTAAAATGGATGAAGCAGTCTGGGAAAGTGGGGAGCAGAGGCAGTGATTATAGTGGCCTCTTAATGCATGTGGTATAAATAAATCTCAATGTATGCAGTGACCCAGGAGCTTCTTCTGGCTCCAAACACTCTGGGTCCTACATACCTAAGGGACTTCTTTCTCCCTTATCGTATGTCCCACCTCAGTCCCCAAGGTCAGCTTCCTGCAAGTACCACCCGTGTGCCAAGTTCACTGGGCAACAACACATAGGAGGTCATTCTTGGTAACAACCCCTTTGCTCTGGCACTCCTTTTCCCCTTGGCCAAGCCTGGATAGCTACAGGAAGTCCTCCAAGACCTTTTTATTAGGAATGGTGTTTAGCAAGCCAGGCTAAGGTGGAGTCTTGTTCAGTGAGGTTTGTTATATAATTATGTATCCACTTTTCTAAATCATCTTGTTTTGGGGGTTTTTTCTGTGAACTGCCCCCAGCCTTCTTTTGGGAATGGCTGTATGTAAATCTAATGGATAAATAAATAGATGCAGCCCCCCATGTTCACCAGGACTGTGCTACACTGAAGATTCAGGGGAACTGTGCATCCAAGAGGACACATTTCCCCCTCCCTATGACCAGTCTTCTCCAAGGTCCAGGAACAATCTAGCCTTAAATGCAGATAAGGATAGAGACAATATTTCCACCTGCCCTCTTAAGCCTCCTGCACTGGAGCAGGAAATGCCTGCACTGGAGGTCATTCACCACCAGCCCCTTTCCCCAAGGAGTAGCTTTGAGATTACATGATTGCCCTACCACACTATTGTGCACCCTCTCCTGGGCCCCCCTCTTCTTTTTCTTGGTAGCCATTTTTGTAGCAATTGTTAATAACAGGTTTAAAAATATTCCAAAGACTTTGCTTTAAAACTGAGGTCTGTATTACTACTCTATGGATGCTTTGATATTTTTAGACCAAGTTTTCAAAATCCATCCATCCATTCAGTTCCAAGGGATCCAACCTATCCAGTCGCATACAAATCTTGCAGGAATGCTACTAGTCACAAGGACTTCTAGAAATACAGCACATCCCAAACATGCACCATCAAGGTCCCCAAGACACATTAACTCTTTCACCACTTCTGGTGCCAAAGGAACAGTCCATTAGCTATTCTGCTGTATAGGAGATACTCTTCCTTTCCATTGGCTCGTACAAGAAATGTTCACCACCCTCCCCTCTCCTCCCCCTGATCTGAGAGATGCAACCAGCTGATGTCTAGGACACACAATAGCAATTCACAAATATCTGAGAGGCTGTCATGGAAAAGATGCAGCAACATTCTCTTTCTCTGTCACAGTTTGCAGCTTCCTGGCAGGAAGACAGGAGGCCAATGGGACAAGCTGCCCAAATAAGTTGTGGTCTCTGGACTAGATGACCCTTGGTGGTCCCTCCCAACCAACCCTATCATTCTTCCTGCTTGCTGTGGAGTACAAAACTTGCCTAAGAAGCAAGCAAATGAAGAAGAAGAAGAACAACAACAACAATCAGAGGTCTGGTAATGGTCAGTCTTTAAAGGTCACGTGAAATCTACCAGAAGCCCCACGGGGGTGCTTAGGAAAGGTCATTTAAGC